TATATATGTATATATATACATACATATATATATATATACATACATATATATATATATATGTACATATATATGTATATATGTATATATATACATATATCAATATATATGTAAATATATATGTCCATATATATGTACATACATATATATGTACACATATACATGCATTGGTAGGTCTTTGAGGGTATAAAAGATTTAGATAGCTCTGGTGACATATACATATATACCTATATATGTAAATATATATGTCCATACATATGTACATATATGTTTATGTACATACATATATATGTACACATATACACGCATTGGTAGGTCTTTGAGGGTATAAAAGATTTAGATAGCTCTAGTGTTTTTTTATCTTAGTTTGTTGTCAATCCCTATCGTTCTCTTTGCTCTTAAATCCGATGTGTTTGCAGTGAAGCCCCGGACAGTACAGATTCCCTATGGGATCTTTCAAGACCCATGGGCCTAACAAGAACTGCTAGATTAGTTTAAAACCTTATATATATATATATATATATATATATACATGTATGTATATATATACATGTATGTATATATATACATGTATGTATATATATACATGTATGTATATATATATATATGTATATATATATATATGTATATGTATATATATATATATATGTATATATATATATATATATACATGTATATATATATATATATATATATGTGTATATACATGTATATATGTATATACATGTATATACATATGTATACATATATATGTATATATATGTATATACATGTATATATATGTATATATATGTATATACATATATATATATATATATACATGTATATACATATGTATATATATACATGTGTATATATATTTATATATACATATATATATACATATATATATACATATATATATATACACATATATATATACATATATATATGTATATATATGTATATATGTGTATGTATGCATTACCCTCCTGCAGAGAGTGAATGTGGCGACCAGTACATAGGATTAAAGAGAATACAAAAAATGGCATTATATACAGATAGGATAGTTGAGGCTTACAATTGAAACGCTAGCTAGAAGTTGTGGATGAGCACGCACAGCAACCTCTTCCAACCGAAACTCTACTGGCATATATTGGACCAACGAGAGTTGTGCAGAGAAGGGGAAGATTGGATACTTGACTCGCTAACCCGCAGGGTGTTTATAGACGGGAGCTTGCTATTTGTGGCATCTCGGAATATATCGTCAATAATTGTATTAAATGCATCGTGGGGAATCTAGCATATGGAAGTCCAAGCCACTTTCCCCTACTTTTTCGTTCAATTGTTTTCAGAAGGAAAGAGAGAGAGAGAGAGAGATAGAGAGAGAGAAGGCGGATTTGATGGAAACAAACCAAAGCCTGAGACTAAAAGGGAGAGAGGAACGAAAGATTTCAATTCAAGGGACCCTTCATAACATTATTATGGATTGGAATCTAAAGCAGCATTCACTAGGGTGGCAAAGAGAAGATAAGCAGCCGTCGTCGCATGCATACGGCAGTTGAAGTACCACATACAACTAACAGCTCGAGTAATTTGGATTGCACAACCTGGATTAGTCGTCCCAAAAGAGTACTTTTAAACTAAACTATCAGTTTGTGTTAAGCCCAAAGTATGATTCCTTTTGGAAAATAATGGTTTACTCTGGTGATAAGGTGGGCAGGTAGTTGTTTTCAGAAAAGCAGTGAGCAAAAAAAACATAGTTTAGTGGTTTGATGTGTCCCGGTAACGTTTTATAATCACACTGGTGCACGGGTCACTTGAGATTCTACACTCGATGATTAGCTAGTGATATTTGTTTTGCGGTTTATCCTCCAATTCTATATGATTACGTGCAACTTTATGCGGCTGTGGTGCGTGGATGTCAAAAACTTGTCTCACACTATAAATTTGAACGCGGGAATTCAGGAAACATGATAGGTCGACGACAGTCTCAGGTGTTGGATTGTATCAAGCTTAGTTTGCAATCCTGAGCGGCTAGCTTGATGTGATACAACTTGAAAGCCCACAAGGTACAAGGGATCAGTAATTCTAGACGGCTAGATTTAGTGCGGTTTTGTGCGTGCGAATGCTTCTGTCGACCACCGTACGACTTTGATTCGTTTACCATTCCACTTTTAGCACAAAGTTAACCAAAATATAATGGCGATCACAACTGCAGTGGGATATGGAGGACGCCTTTTCTCTTTTCTCTTTTTTTTTTTCTTTTCTTCCACACTTTTATTACATCCTTTTTCTCTCCACACAAATTCAAATATCATAATCTGATTTTTTTATGCACTGTTGAGAACATGCAAAATCTAATGAAGAAAATAGCAAGTAGGGGCCAGTATTTTGTTGGTGTATGAAACCCCAGTGGGCCACGAGTTGATTTTGAAATTGTCATCCCTAATAATGCTAGATTTATATATAGTTTGATCTAAATGAGCCAACAATATCCATAGAAAGTATAATAATTAGTACACCATGAGTTAATCAACTATACTCTAAAACCTCTAGTATATATGTGTTAATTTTTCAGTAATAGTGTTGGCTTATAGAACTAAAGGTTTAGGAAGAAAATATGCCAAACTTTGTGATACATAAATGTTTATAACGTTGACCCTGGATTTTAAATGTGTAACTAAATTGACGTTCTTGCTACTAATGTTTTTTCAAATGCTCAACTGCAAATTAATTAATATAATAGTCAATCAATACTTCATCAAATTTTCATATGGTTGAACCCAAGTTCAAGCTAGATAACTTTGACGCAAGCTAATTATATTCATTGTACTCATCTTGCACTTACAACTCATTCAGTGTCAGCTGAATTGGAAATTTTATTAACATTTACTATTCAAGAAATCAAGATGAAATTTATCGACTTTACTTAGTATATGAACTCAATTAATTACAATACATTAATGGAGCTGAGAGATAATTAGGAACTTCAATTGATCAACTTTAAATAACTGACCTGAACTGATTAAGGCAAACCAAGTAGAGAATGAAAGAAGCTGCTTACAGGTCAGTGAGTCGTTTTGATGTAAAAAATAACTAACTTAATAATTGAGGAATGTGACTAAAGAAACTCGCTAGTAACGATACAAAGAACAAGCTTGGTGCCACAAAGTCAAACTACAAGGAAAAGCACCAATAAGCTAAATTGATTCTTATTGTGTTAGCTCATTAGAAATGTGATGTGGGTTATCTGAAAATTGATCATAGAGGGATTTTATTACGAAAGATATTATTATAAAAAATAAATCATGATAAAATTATAATGATCCTCTCAATATTTTGATACAATGTTATCATAATTCTAAATCATAAAATTTATAATAATATATTATCATGATAAAGATCATGATCTCAATGTGATATCCTAAATCATGAAATAATTTAGTAAATATTTTATATCTATTATTGATTGAGAAAATTATGTAATTATCATAGTTTATAATTTCTCTATGTATATATAAATTCATACTCACTATCAATAAAATTTAATTAGTCATTTATTCTCATGGTATCAGAGCCATAGTTGCTCTAAAGAGGTTTTTTTTTAATCCTCTCTTTAATATTATTGTTTTGTCCCTCTTCCTTCATCGTGGTCGAAGGTAGCATTGCAACTCTTTACTACTGTCGCTTTGTACCTCCTCATTCATAGTGGTTGAATGTAGCTTTTTAACTTTTATTGTGCTTTATGCTCTAGCAAACTTCTCTTTCTTGTAAGCGGCTCGAAATCTTTTTCTTTCTCACTTTTCAACATGACCGATAATGCCTTTTCAACTAGCCACTCATCTTATATCACCCCCAACTCCTCTTTTCCTGAAAACACTCTTGTCTCCATTAACATTATAGTGTAAGCTCCTCTCAAACTCACATCCGTAAACTATACCTCTTGATATACTCAACTTTATTCTCTTTTAATCGGCTATGATCTTATAGGTTATGTAGATGGCATCATCACTAGCCTTTCACAAATGATTAAAGAGAATAATCTTAAAGTTGTTAATCCTAAATATACTTTTTGGACCTATCAAGATCATTTCTTAGAAGTGCTATCATTGACTCTCTCTCTCTCTCTCCTCAAATCATTCTCTATGTAACCTCTACAAAATTCTCTTATGAAATATGGTTCAAGCTTGCAACAATGTATGCTAACTAATCTTGTGGTCACCTTATGTAACTTCGAGAGACTCTTTGTAAACTTTTTAAAGGCACAAAATCTATTTCTAATTACTTGTAGGCTATCAAAACTCAAGCTGATGCATTTGCTATAGTTGATGCACCTTTTGATGATAAAGAGATGTTTTTCATATATTAAATGATCTTGGTTTAGAGTATAAGGAGATCTCGGCTATGATTCATGCTCGCGATGGTCCTATATCTTTTGAAGAACTTTATGATAAGCTTTCTAACTATGAAGCTTATCTTAAACGGGAGTCACTACCTTCTATTGCTGCTTCTATCACCACCAATATTGCTAATAAAGCTAATTCTTACAACAAAGATAAGATACACAACCAATAAGACAATTGTTCAAACAATCTTATTGGAGGCTATTTGAAAACCTGAGGTGACATCACATGTACAATAAAAGAATAGAAAATAAAAATCTTAAATTTTCATAGAAAATAGTTTCTTTTTGTTGTGCGAAAATTGGTATGCAAAAATCTATAAAACCATAAAAAATCACATGTGTTAAGGGATGTGTGTTACCTAGGGAGATCGTATATCCCTGAAATCTTACAGATCTATAGGAGATGATGAAGGAGATCAACTATCAGTCTCTCTAACGGTTATCCATAAAACAGGAGTTGCAAAGACGCTTCTTAAATCATTGTACAAACCTCATCTTCACGTGCACCAAAGGATCAAGAAGGGGCTAGCCCTTCTTGTTGTCCATATGCCCTAAACAGGGGTTGCTAGCTAAGGAAAAGAGGGGAGAGGAAAAAAGGAGGTGATAGCCAAAAGGGTCTAGCCTATAACCCTTTACTTCCCTCCTATTTATAGAGGCTCATTGTCATCTTAACCATAATGGATCCTATCTTATTGGGTATTGGATCTTCATCCAACTACTTAAGCCTCTTAGATTAGTGGATCTCTTCCAATAATCTATCATTAGCTCTTATTGGATCTTATCCATAGGATCAAATAATTCAAAGACTTATTGGATATCCAATAAGATAGGGGCTCTAGTGAATATCTTATATTCAAACTCTACTCATCGCAACACCTACCACATGTATGTGACCCTCTAAGGCCAATATCAAGTTGGTCATGAGTCATATCTATCAGAACTCTTTATAGCTTAGTGAATTATTATCTCTATAATAATTCACTACACCGCAGTCTATAGACGAAAGAGGGAATCTAATCTTTTAGACATATCTGCCTTAGTTACCATGTATCTATAGTCCCTTATGCTAGTCATAGATGTCCTGTAAGCCAATCACGTGAGTATGGCATGTGTGACATAACACGCAATCTTTTTGCTTATTATTATTATGATATTTTCTCATCTTATATTGCTTAATTCATAAATACATTGTGATGTTCATGGATCTATACAATGAGAATTAGATCGTGATGATATTACGATAATGAGACCGATTCACCTCTAAATACAGACCTTAAAAAATTCTAATTATAGGTTACTCGAGAGAGATATCGAGATAATCGGACAGACCGGTGTATTGTATACCCGTCCATATGATGGAGGTAGCTGGTCTCATAGCTGTTTATGTGGGAACACTAGGGCTATAGTGCAAGTGCTAATTGGATAATGAGTTCACTAATTGATCCGCTCACAAAATGCTAGGTGGTTGATGATATCTCATTGTCAAATAACCATTCCGTCATCCTAGTAGTGTACCTAGTCTTTCCAAGGATGTCTTGTATGAGTACTCCACTCTTTAATACTGGACTTATATGTTTTGAAATTTCAGATCTAGTACAATTGATCATCGAGAGTGATAGCTAACCTTACGAGGGCTATTAAATATCGATAGAGGATTATCTGTTCTTGGTATTATGAAAGAAATATCCTATGTATTCTTAGTTAGATAAATCCTTGGTCAAAGTCATTCAGATTAAGAGAGAAAGAGTTCTTTGAGAGAATTCGATTAGAGC